AGGGGAAGAGATTGAGACCATCCTGGCCAACATGGTGAAACCCCATCTCTACTAAAAATATCAAAATTAGCTGGGCATGGTGGCATGCACCTGTGGTCCCAGCTACTTGAGAGGCTGAGGCAGAAGAATGGCTTGAATCCAGGAGGCGGAGATTGCAGTGAGCCGAGATTGCGCCACTGTACTCCAGCCTGGTGACAGAGCAAGACTCTGTCTCAAAACAAAACAAAAGTAAATAAAATGTAATGATAAACCATTTTTTCATGCATTATCTTCTTCGTTAGGAAGTATTAAAAATGAATGTGTTCCCATTTCCTAAAAATGTCTCTTCAGTTTTTAAATTACCGATACTGAGCTCATATAAAGGTGCTTTGTTAAGTAGCATTCACACACTGGTTTGTGTAACTTGCTCTTCCCCCATTTTTCTGTTTCATTTATTTAGAAAACTGTCGCGGAAAAGCAGGAGAAGAGAAATCAGGATCGCTTGAGGAGGAGAGAGGAGAGGGAGCGAGAGGAGCGTCTGAGCAGGAGGTGAGCCCGGGACTGGCACTGGATGGGCTGCCCCGGCCTCGGGCGTCCCCTGCTGCTTGGAGTAGTTTGGGCCTGCTCAACAGGCCATTATAAGAGAAAAAAGTGAGGCCAGGCCCGCTGGTTCATGCCTCTAATCCCAGCACTTTGGGAGGCCGAGGTGGGCAGATCACTTGAGATCAGGGATTGAGACCAGCATGGTGAAACCCTGTCTCTACTAAAAATACAAAAATTAGCTGGACGTGGTGGCATGTGCCTGTAATCCCAGCTACTCTGGAGACTGAGGTGGGAGAATCACTTGAACCTGAGAGGCAGAGGTTGCAGTGTACTGAGATGGTGCCACTGTACCCCAGCCTGGGCAACAGAGCAAGACTCCATCTCAAAAAACAACAACAACAACAACAAAGGAGAAGTAAACACATGGCATATTCAGTCCAACAGAACAAAACACAGCCCAGCCTAGCCCAGGACGGTGTGTGCATGGCAGTCAGGAAAGGCTCTGAGTTGTTGGAGGCTTCGTGTGGCACTGCTGATGATTTACTGGGTGCTCTGGGGCTGTTGGGTGGCTCCTTAGGAGGGGTGGTACCTGCCGCCTTGTGGAGAACAGTGCTGGTGCGGGAGTGGGGGCACCAGGGCCTTGGGGAGCTGGGCGGGAGAACCTTTATGGAGGAGGTGGCAGTTGAAGTCAGGCAAGGGGCTGAAGGAGTCTGGGAAAGTTCTGGGATAGAACCGATGGGATCTGCTGTTAGCGTGTGAGGTGTGCAGAGGAGGAAGTGAAGCTGGTTCCTGGTTTGTGTCCCCGAGTTGCTTCTTGGTGAGTTTGGAAGGCTGGGCATGGTGTATTGGAATGGGAAGAGGAAGGATGGAAGTAGCAGGTGCTTCTGGCCACACTCAGCTTGAGAGGCCGTCTTGAGATGGGGGTGTTGAGTCTGATTGGAGTTGAAAGAAGAGCTGGGAGCTGGAAGTAACCTCTTGGACACAGCTTATTGTCCAGGAAGGCTCCCAAACCGCTTTCCCTGAAAGAGCTCCTCAGTGTGTAACTCAGAGAGGGCGAATGTTGTTTATTGTGTTTATTGTTGTTTTAATTATCCAGCAGATTTTTATTGTAAGGAGATTTAAACAGTATAGAAAAAATATTATGCAAAACAGACTCCCATTTTTTTGCATGGAGTTGGACATTTTTACATGCATGATCATGTTTAGGTCATGTATGTTGTGGGTGTACATGGGGCCACTTGACCTTAATGACTGTACCTTAATTCTTAGCAGGGGCATAGAACGAGGCCTTGTAGCTTACGTTTTTCATACTCTGGTTGTGTGGCAGAATGAGCTCATGACTCTCACCTGGCAGGACGCCTGTGTCTGGAACTGAGGGCTTTGCTTTCACTTTGCTGTCTTTGGTGTGCCCCACTCAGCGCCTGCACGTTCTGTGCTGGTGTTTGTTGTCAAGACTGGAGAAGCATTTGTAGGACTTGGGTGCTGCACCGTTAACTGTCAGTGTGCACCGATTTCCCACGGCCCTTGTGATGTTATGAGGCTGTGTCTTATGCTCGGATGTAGTCCCCTCGGTGACACTCAGGTGCCACTGAGTGTGCCACAGAGTGGCGGTGGGGATGGCCACATTGGCACTGTCCATTCAGACTGGAAACATGCAGGCAGCTCAAAAGCAGCAAGTCTTTGGGGAAATGTCTCACTTCTTGGATTAGATTTGGAGCCCTCCCCGCAGATGGTGAGGAATAGGGGTGCTTTCGGGAAGTAGTTCATCTTTTTTTTTTTTTTTGAGATAAAGTTTCACTCTTGTTGCCCAGGCTGGAGTGCAGTGGCGCCATCTCAGCTCACAGCAACCTCTGCCTCCCAGGTTCAAGTGATTCTTCTGCCTCAGTCTCCCGAGTAGCTGGGATTACAGGTGCTCACCACCCCGCCTGGCTAGTTTTTATATTTTTAGTAGAGATAGCATTTCATCATGTTGGCCAGGCTGGTCTCAAACTCCTGACCTCAGGCGATCGGCCCGCCTTGGCCTCTGAAAGTGCTGCGATTACAGGTGTGAGCCACCCTGCGCTCAGCCCTGTTCACCTTTTTTTCCCCTTTTTAGGTCAGGATCAAGAACCAGAGATCGCAGGAGGTAGGTTTCCAGATCCATTAAAGTGTTCTCAGTCAAATATCTTTTTCCATTAGCCTTTTTCTTAATATTTACTGTTTATGCCTTTGCAAATGTTGTCTGGCAGGAGGGCTGGCTTGTGGAGGGCACAGGGCAAGGGGTTGCTTGGTACAACAGAGGGTTCCCACTGTTGGTGAGAGGGAAGGTGACAGGAGTATCCAGGCCAGATGTTTTCAGGAGGCCTCATTGGAAAGGGTCTAGCCATTGGAGATAACTGATAGAAATATGTTAAATTTGGGGAAATCGGGGGGAAGTGTCAGCAAAGCAGCAAGAGCAGAATCTGCTGAGGGGTGGGGCTGTGGTGGCGGTGGCATCTGTGGAGTCTCAGCCTCGGAACCTTCTGATTTTTCAGGTCACGCTCCCGGGATCGGCGTCGGAGGCGGTCAAGATCTACCTCCCGAGAGCGACGGAAGTTGTCCCGGTCCCGGTCCCGAGATAGACACAGGCGCCACCGCAGCCGTTCCCGGAGCCACAGCCGGGGACATCGTCGGGCTTCCCGGGACCGGAGTGCGAAATACAAGTAACTACTCTGACTCCTTCGGTAGCTGCAACCAGGAGTGAGCCCTTCTCTGTGTTCCCAGGGTCTGCTGGGGGCCGTGTCTGGTGGGGATGGGCCTGGGCTGGCACCCAGGACTAGGGCCGGGGAGTCACAAATGGGACTCTGAGGTCTGGAAAGAGGCGAGAGGGCTGTGGAGGAGCTCGCACAGCACCAGGTGATGCCGCAGGAGCTGCACGTGTGTGCCCAGCCTGCACCCTGGGGCCCTGTGCACCATTGCGCCCATACACAGAGTGGCTGAGCCTTAATGTTCTGACCAAGCCCTGCTTACCTCTGCTTTCATTTTTGTTTTTGGTATTTTTTTCTGCGCGCACGCGCGCGCATGTGTATGTGTGTTTTAGCATAGTGTTGTGTTCTCCTTTGCTCCATTTATGTTGTAGTGAAGGCTCTCCTTATTAAAACTCTTTGTAAAGGTCACTTTTTAATGGTTACCTAACATTCCATATGTGGTGGGCAGGTGTGGTTGGCCTCCCGGGGGCTTCCAGATGTAGGGGGTGCATGGCCTTCCCTGGCCTGGTCTGTGGGTCCACTGCCAGTACCTGAGCAGCCAGCAGAAGTGGGGCAGCAGCCTCCACTGAGCCTGTGGTTCCCATTTCCCAGGTTCTCCAGAGAAAGGGCATCCAGAGAGGCGTCCTGGGAGAGCGGGCGGAGTGAGCGGGGGCCCCCGGACTGGAGGCTCGAGAGCTCCAACGGGAAGATGGCTTCACGAAGGTCTGAAGAGAAGGAGGCCGGCGAGATCTGACCCTGTCTCCGGGTGCTGTAAATAGTCTGATAAACATTCGCACAGTCTAAAATTACCCTTTATATTTGCTGAATATAACTCATCTTTTGTAGTTTAAAATTTCTATTGTTTTGGAGCTAGCTGTGAGTTTCTAGAATTGTACAGAGTTGCTCCTGTGTTTTGGGGTCATGTTGAGTAGGAATAAATAAATACGACGACTGCCTCCTGAGGCTGCGCTGGCGTCTGTGCTGTCCTCTGCCTGGAGCTTGTCACCGTGACCCTGTGCCAGTGCCACCAGTACCTCACAGGCAGCAGGACTGACTTGGGGACCACGTCTTGTCTTCTGGCATCCAGTAGATGCCATGGCACTTCCTGTCCTCGGCACCTCACCGACGGGACCCAGATATACATGGCTGTTTGTTTGCTGGGTCCCACGCACCCTTCTGAGTGGCTGAGCTGTCCATCTCCAATGGGGAGGAGAGAGGGGCTCTATTCTGTATTCGTTTAGGAAAAGCTGTCTTGTGTGGTCAGCTGTTGCCACATCCTTAACTTGGGACTCAGGTGAGTTACACTGGACTTCCTGTTTTGAAGTTACTTAGCACAAAAAAATGCCCATGGGGCTGGGCATGGTGGCGCACGCCAGTAGTCCCAGCTACTACTCAGAAGGCTGAGGCAGGAGGATTTTTGAGGCTGAGGTGAACCTTGATTGTGCCACTGCACTCCAGCCTGGGTGACAGAGGAAGGCCCTGTCTAATAAAAAAAAAAAAAAAAAAAATGAAAGGCTAGGCATGGCAGCTCATGCCGGTAATCCCAACCCTTTGGAGGGCGAGACAGGTGGATCACTCAAGGTCAGGAGTTTGAAACCAGCCTGGCCAACATGGTGAAACTTTGTCTCTACTGAGAATAAAAAATTAGCCTGGCGTGGTGGTCCACATCTGTAATCACAGCTACTAGGGAGGCTGAGACAGGAGAATCGCTTGAACCCGGGAGGCAGAGGTTGCAGTGAGATAAGATCGCATCCAGCCTAGGCGACAGAGCAAGACTCTGCCTCAAAAAACAAAAAAAATGAAGCCCTTCTGCAAAGGATACATGCTGACTAATGTGTAGGTAATGGGAACTCCTTCCCTTTTTCACTATCTGGGAGATTTTTTGGAGGGGATTCCTGGGAGTCACATTGTTAACATATAGTCACCCTCATCCACTTTGTCTCTGCAGAAGTACAGGTGCCGCCCTTGAGCTGATGGGCTCAGTGGGCACACACGGGCACCATGGTCTGGATCTTTTCACGATGTAGCTGGTGGCCCTGCCCTGGGCTCTCCTGCCACAGGCTGTCCTTTCCGGGGGACATACGGGTAGGCGGGCTGCTCTGCCAGTCTGTCAGCTGTCTCCAAGGAAAGGAGGGTGGAAGGGGCTGCCCTGTGCAGGAGTCACTTGGGATTAGTGCCATGCTTTGCAGGCCCCATCCTGCACTTGGCACTGAGGGTACTCGTTCAGCCTGTGTGCTTCCCTCCTAGTCTTGGAGAGGGAGTGGCTGGGTCTGGCTTCCTGTTCCCAAGCCTACATTGTGGTCATGGCTGTGGCTGCCTGGCTAATGAGTGTTTGCATCCCAGGTTTTCCTGGGGCGTAAGCAGACAGTCCCACCCTCAGGCCCATTACCACTGTGAATTGTTTGGATCCTTTTCCACGTAGACATTTGTGTGTGTAGACAGTTGTTTTTTGCTTTGCTTTTCTTGTCAGGGAGTGGGGTTTACAAAAAAGGTGCTGTGCCCCTGGCCTTCAGTACCCACATCCTGTGCCCTGTAACTGCTGATTACAGTTGAAGGACAGGCCCCCTGGGATGCAGCATCAGTGTCCTGGGCCTTCCCTGGTAGCCTCATGCTGGCGCAGCCATCCAGGGCACAATCTGTGCAGGGAGAGGTACCCCTGCCTCCCTGCTGTGCGGGGACAGTCAGGTGGGCTCTTTGCACACGTGCCAGGTGGCGCTGACCACACTGAGCTTCATACCCCTTTCTGCTGATACCACGATAGCTCTTCTTCCCTCCATCCCTTTCTGCTGTCAGAGTCTGCTGTAGGGGACCCACGTTTCACTCTCCATCCGATACAGCGAGTCCTTCCTCTCCACAGCAGTACCAGTATATCTCGCTCAAGATGGCTAGCGGGAGGTGTGTGGGTCTGGAAATGCATCCCTCCCATGTAAAGGAGTCTGTGGTGGCACGTGGAGCAGGCCTTTGCTCCACCCACGGAGCTTCATCTTGGCCTGCAGCCCAGGCTGGATGAGAACAGAAGACAAGGGACCTCTCCAGAACATTTGGTGATTTAAAATTATTTTTTTGAGACTTTGTCATCCATGCTGGGTTGCAGTGGCACCGTCAGGGCTCCCTGCAGACTCCTAGGCTCAAGTGTTTCTCCCGCTTAGCCTCCCAGGTGCCTGGGACTTAGGTGTGCACTACCACATTTGGCTAAGTTTTTATTTTT